AATAATAGTAAAATATTTTTGACAGTGAATATTTTAGCCAGTGCCTGACAATTATGTACTCACTTGCTTTTATTGGAAAGATTATTTAGGCAAGAACAAGGAACGTACCCACTAGAAGAAAGAAATACGGGCATGTCTGTTATTCTAGAAGCACCTGAAAGCAAGGGGAAGTATAGGAGAAGGAGAGATAAAATGGGATAGAGTTAGAAAATAGAGTATTTCAGTAGCATTAGCTGCAGATATTCCATATGTAGATTCTGTTCCCCATTTTTGTTCTTAATGGCATACAGCAAATCAAAGGAACCAGTTAGTTTTGAAAACATATTATTAAACTCAAAAGCATAATGACCACTATTGTCAATTATTAGGTACTTGAATAATTTAAAGTCTAGTGGCAGACAAACCAAAAAAGTAAGAAGTAACATATCTAAATATTAATTTTGGCATATGTTTCAGTTTGCTTGTTGTTATTGCACGTATTTATTCTTTTTGCTCATACCTATCCCATACAGAAAAGCTTTTGCCATCTTTGTTTCTGAAAAGTGATTCAAGCCACATTGCTAGTTGAAGTTCAGGTTTGGTCATTTGCTCACATTATTGAACACTGGTCTTCATTAATTAAGACATTTTTTAAAAATTGCTTGCTTAGTATATTTGTGCATGCTTTGAAATATTCTAAAAACTAACCATTGTCCTTAGCTTCTAGATGTGCAATTCTTCAGTACACTGCTAAAAAAAATTAAATACTTGGACCATGGGACAAAGAAGAAGCTGGGTTTCTGTTCATGGCCCTGCTGCTGAGTCAGCACAGGACTTGGTACCGTGTTTTGGCACTCTTTCTTTAGTGGAATGGCATCTCAGTTGTCGCGGCACTTGCACCAGTGAGACTGCCTCCCTGGCAAAGAGCCATCATGCACGAATGAGCACGAACAAGGACTTTGGCCATTAATGTTTCTGCCCCATGAGCAAAAGAAGTTTGGGGTTTGATTTGTTTGTTTGTTTTCCTTTCCAAAGCACGTTCGATCTTTTGATGGCAAGTGCTTTACAAATACTGAATATGATGACACACTTCCCAAGTAAGCAAGTAAATAAGCCTAGTAATGATAGCCTTGGCCTAGTATGCCATTACTCTGGGCACTGTACAGTCATAACGAAGGACAGCAGTTGCTCTGCAACTACAAAGTTGAGGGAGGGGAGATCAGACAGACGTAGCAAAAGGTTAATTCCCAGGAAGGATGGGATTGTACCGGTCAGCTTGAAAAGCAGTTGCCTTGGCACACTGGTTATCTAACCACCATTCTAGTTGGCAATGCAGAGAAGGACAATTTCGAGGTCAGATGAGGGGAGAGATTAAAAATTAGCTCGGTGAATGTTCTCAGGGACCTGCTTTCCTGGCACTTATAGTGTCATTAGCAAAATCCAGGAGAGTCAATAATGTTGCCACAGTCCATACAGGTGGTGAAGAAGTGGTTGGACCTTGCACTGTGCCACAAAATACTGCAGCTAATGAAAGTCCAATGCCTTCAATATTTTGTATTAAAAGGGACTCCTCCACTGGCAGTGTGAGTGGCTGCCTCCTAAGAAGCTGATCATGCTTTCCCTAATCTCTTTCCTTGATGAGCTGCCTGGAGAAGTAGCGCAACAGTAGAGTCAGCATAAAGCTTTGCCTAGGTCTTTACTCCATTCGTTGTTGCACTGGTTACTAATAAGTTAGTACAACCAGGTTTTGTGCATCTGAGCAATTACAGTGCCGTTCATGTGGTTTTATATAGCTGCTAGGCCCCAAGAGTAATGACCTAAACAGCTCTCTTCTTTTACAGGAGTTAATAATTTTTGCATTTCCTTACCACCTCCAGATGTAGGACATCAGTGAAATTAAACAAAATTGCAGACCTCCTAAAGGTCTATAGGGAGGTCAAGAAATTGTCCAGTGTTATTCATGGGTCAGTGCCATTGAAATGGTATGATTCTACAGCCTTTTCGAAAAAAATGTATTTACACTATCTTAAAACTGGAATATAAGCTTTCTTTTTTTTTTTTTTTTAAATGGTAAAGGTCCCTGAGTCATTTATATAAATTCACTAAGACAATTTCAGAGGACTAATACTGTCTAGGTTCAAAATATATATGGATTATTAAAGCCCTGTATTGTGTAAAACTGAAGGGAACTGAAGGGACTGTTCTCCTGTGAAGGATTTTAATAAGAGCCATGATTGTCTTTTGTTATTTAGCTTGCTGTTGTGCCTGCAGGCCTTCCTAAACTCTTATTGTACAGACACATTATAAAGAGGCATTATAGCTCACAGCCTCAGTTGTGACAGGATGAAACAGTTTGGTGAACATTACTGATGGACCAGGGAAAAGAGTAACAGGAAAGGTCTCTTACTGCAGCCTGCATTGGAGCCTGTTTACCCAATAGTTTAATGTTCTTGTCAGAAAGGCTTTCTTTAGCGTGTGTGAACTGTATATCTTTTATTTTCCTTTCTTTTAAAGGCTGTTTCTTTCATAGGAAGAGGTGGGGAAAGCCATGTGCAAGGAAGGGGGTGGCTGTTCCTTCCCATGGAGCACAGGGGAGCAGCCTTCCGGCCATGAGGTGGGAGGGCGGAGGGGAGTGGGGAAAACGCAGCGAGGACCTGGAGCCCCAGTCCTCAGCTGTGGTGGCCAAAACCATCCTGGGGACTGTGCATCTGTGCAGAGGTTGCCACAGCTTGGGAAGTCTGGGAGGTTGTTGAAATCAAACTGGACAGTAAGGACTCACCCTGCAAGGACACAGTGAGCAAGGGGAGCGTGTTTTGTACAGCCTTCGCCTTTCCTTCTGCTGGACTTAGTCACTGGAGGTGCTCAGTACTGTCTGACTTTCTAAAGCTGAAACACCTTTTGGTCTTTCTTGGAAAATTCACTTTATGGAGGAGGTTCAGGCAAATCCACATCAGAGCCCTAGTGTACTGGGTCTGGCTGGTGTGGAGTTGACAACATCTAGATGACTTGGAGTCCCACTACGACTTGTAGCAAACAAGAAGAGAGAATAACATCTGCGCTAGAGACTCACATTTTCTTGCTTGAAACATAGCTGATGCTGAAACAAACCAAAAGCCTGGCATGCAATATGTATACTTTCTAAAATGCTAAAACAGGTGGATGAGGTCAAAATTTTCTTTCTTTTTCCCCTTTGCAGAGTTTCTAAAGAATTTGGATTGTTTGTGTGGGGATAGCTACTGCTGTTGGGGAGGGGCACCGCTTGTTTTCACTTCATAACCCTGGTCGTGGCTGTCATGCAAGGCAAGGCAATTGCTGAAGCAGTGCTGTGAGAGTCGGGGTGAAAGCTGAACAACTGCAACAGGAGGAGAATTTTCAGACCTGATGGCTTTAAAGTTATTAGGGGATTTAAGTAATCTTTTTTATTTTAATTAATTTTGTAGTGTTCTAGTGAAGGTCAATGGCTGACTAATGGTTTGGACAAAGGATGCTTTTGTTAGAGACATGTTTTCTTGGAAATAAAAACATACCAGTGTTTAATATATTTTGAGACACTGCCACCCTGCCCCTTGACCAACATCGGCAGCTGTCGTGGTTTAACCTCAGTCAGCAACTGAGCCCCACCCAGCCGCTCACTCACTCCCCCACAGTGAGATGGGGGAGAGAATCAAGGGTAAAAGTAAGAAAACTCCTGGGTTGAGATAAAGACAGTTTAATAGGGAAAGCAAAAGCTGCGCACACAAGCAAAGCAAAACAAGGAATTCATTCACTGCTTCCCATGGGCAGGCAGGTGTTCAGCCATCTCCAGGACAGCAGGGATCCATCACGCATAACGGTGACTTGGGAAGACAAATGCCATCACTCCAAATGTGTCCCCCCCCTTCCTTCTTCTTCCCCCATCTTTATATACTGAGCATGATGTCATATGGTATGGAATATCCTGTTGGCCAGTTTGGGTCAGCTGTCCTGGCTGATGTCCCTTTGGCCAGTTTGGGTCGGCTGTCCTGGCTGTGCCCCCTCCCAGCTTCTTGTGCACCTCCAGCCTCCTCAGTCAGCAGAGCACGGGAAGCTGAAAAGTCCTTGGCTAGTGTAAGCATTACCTAGCAACAACTAAAACATCGGTGTGTTATCAACTTTGTTCTCATGCTAAATCCACAACACAGCACTGTACCAGCTACTAGGAAGAAAATTAACTCTATCCCTGCCGAAACCAGGACAGCAGCGTAGGCAGGATGCTGCCCACAGTATCCATGTTGAGGTATGATCCCCTCAAATCACACTGCCATCGCTGGAGCCAAGGGGTGGCATGAGTCTTACCGGCATTCAAAGGCATTTATGTGCCTGCTTGTTGCTGCCAGGTGACCTGGACACCAAGTGTCCTGGGATGCCCACCAGAGCCATGGCGTCACTTATGATGCCGTGTTTGCTGTCGGTGATTGGATGAGTCACCGTATGGGCACGCTGTTGCTCATCTTTCCTATTGCCTCAATAAAGCTTTGTTTTATAACGTGTTGTCAGACTCCATCACTGTTTGGACCACAGACACTCAGCAGATAATCTCGAAAAAAACATAGGCAGCATTTGGCATCAGAAACACAGGGAAACATTGTGGTCCCCGGTGTGGCTTCTCCTCCCCCCATTTGATTTCCAGCTGCCATGTCTTGATCATCTCAGCAACGAAGAACTGTAGCCCCTCTTCCTAAATAGTAGCAGTGGAAAAAACCAGGAGGACTGGGACGTATTTGCTCTGTTTGATACCCTTCTTCATTTCCTGGCAGCAACATTCCTCATATTTGCTCTCTGAAGAATCAATAGTTTAAAAATAGAAATGAAGGAAGGAAGGAGAAAGAAGGAACCTTCTGAGACCAGCTTCACCCATAATTTTCAAAAGCCTGGTTTATTTTTAGAATCTTTACTTTCCTGGTGACATTATCACAGGAGTCGTTGCTGATGTCTGTAAGTGTGTTTTTATATCTTTGTAACTGACTTTAATCTGGTTTTGTTCATCTCCTCTTCTCTCCCAGTGGAGTTTTTATACTGTGATTTGGCTTCCATGAAGTCCATACGGCAATTTGTGCAGCGGTTTAGAGCAAAGAATTGTCCACTCCATGTCCTGGTGAACAATGGTGAGTTCTCGTTTTTTCTTCACATATCTGCAGGGGAAGATGTGACAAATGGGGCTCTTGTCTATCACTTCACATTTGAAATCGATTATCTGAACCATATGGCAGGTTACAATATGGCTGCATTAACAAGGATTTCTTCCTAGGAGTTAAATTGCATTTTTGGGAGAGATTGTCAGCTGAGCAGGCTGAACACTTCAGTGCCACCCCTGCTCGTGATGTTATTGCAAGTCTTGCTCCTTTGCTGTGTTTTTTAGCTCTCCAGCACTAAAAATCAGGTGACTGCACAAGAATCTCAGCATCCCTAAGAAAAAAAAAAAAAGGAAAAGAAAGCTGTACTTTATGTCTGTAGAAGACCTGTCCTTTCACCTTTATTTACTTTCTCTCCCCTTGTATTTTCCCTGTATGAACACATGAGTTTACTGTGGCTGCCTGATGAGCTGGGTTTGGGGGTTAATCCATCTGAAATATAATCTAGCAAATTATCCAATGATCTCAGAGCAGTCATTGCTTAGATCAAGGTGCTGCTGGGAAAGTTGTCCATAAAGCTGCGTCCTCAGTGGTCAGAGAACAAATTAAAAGGACGACATTTATCTTGCATTCATACAACTATCAAATGAATCGCATTACTCTTAGGGATTTTAACTTTTGTTATTCACATACTTGTCATCTAATTATGTTTTATAGCCACAGTATTTTTGGAAACCAGCCTGTACAATAATTTTCCTCCAAAAGCCTTGCATGCTCTGTATGCACTTTCCTAAGGGGGAATTTTCACTTGTCTATTTAACTAGGGGAAAAACCTGCCAGCAACAATTTAGGCTTCTTTTAGAAGTTTTCTGCTGTTATATGCTGCTGTTCTTGTTTTCCCAATTATTTGCATGTATTTTTATTAAGACATCCCAAAGAACATTTTCTGTTTTCCTGTGCACCCTTCAGTCCTAGCGAGGGCAAACGTACTGTAAATAAATGGGTTTGTTACATTTGTTGATGCCTTAAAGAGCTCTCAGTAACACAAGCAAATATTGCAATAAAAATTCAAGATTATTTTATTTCCTGATTGATATGAAACGTTCATGAAATGTTCAGTTAAATGTTCTTTTTTATTTGATTAGTCAAAAAATCCTACCATTATTATTTTAATTGTGCAATAATTAAAGGTAGTGGATATTTAATCCCGGTTACAAAATCTTTCCAGTTTTACATACCTACTTTAAAGATGCAGAGTACAAACTGTTACACAGATGGGAACAACACTATTTGAAAAAACAGCATTTTGTGGAGAAAAAGGTTTTGAGATCTATGCACCCATCAGGCATCCCCTGCCCTCCACCGGTTATCTGCATGAGCAAAGCCAGGACTGTGCAGCAGGCGCTTGGGGGCAGCTTGGGGGAGAAATGATGGGTCTGAAGCAACAGCACAGCTTGTAGGCCTCTTGAATAAAGGGTTTTGTTCTGCCCTAGCTGCTGCTGAAGCAGGATGGATTATAATTGCAGTTGAATATGTCTTCTTAATCAAGAAACAAAATTATATGAAAATAGATCTCCTCATGTGCCTAACATGATATGAGACCAAAGAGTGTAGGCCCAAAGCTTCTTTTAAGAAAGAAGCTTGAGACTAATATTTGCCTGATTCAGCCTATATTTTTGTGGCCTGCAAGAAGGGCATTTGATTTCACTTACACTTGGTTACCAAATACAGTTGGCAGAGAAACCTGTTGTTTGAGAAAATCCTGTTAGAAAGTACAATGAAATGAATGGTCCAACTCTGCTTTTTGCTGAATCTTTAACAGAATCGCAGAAGCGGTCACATCCAAAGCTGCTGTAAAGACTCCCATATAATTAGGTTAGTCTCCGACCTTTACCTGGCAAGACACTAGCCTCCCTCCACTTCTGAAAGCTCTTTCCCGCGGTTTTCTTTTCGGTCCTTTTTGTTTGCTCTTGTAAATAATCTGTAGCATTTAGTTTTGTTACTAGTTTCGTAGTGAAAGCCCAAGTGATTACTTGGTACACGAGAAAAATGAACATACCTAATGGAGGAGAAATGGCCCGACGCAAAAACCTTTGAACAGCTTCTCTTGGCTTTCCATCAGTGCTGAGTACATCCAAGACAAATGCTGACGTTTGGGCTAACTGGTAGGCTTTTCTTTTTCCCTTTCCCTTCCTCTTTCCTTTTTGTTGTCTTTTTTTTTTCACTGTAATGCAATGCATTAAGAAGGAAGATTCAGTCCATTGTGGACTGCAGGGCTGGAGGCACTACTCACTCAAAAGCCTCATCACAGTTACCAGCTCCACTGCCTTCACCGCATGATCCCCTGGACACAAGCTTGGGTGCCTGGAAGAGGACAATGCTTGCACTTTTTAAATGTCTGATGGGAATGAGTTGTTGGGCATGTCGTCAGTGAGTGTGTATGCTTTCTGTCAGAAAACTCTGTTGTCAATAGGAAGGCATTTTGCATGACCATTTGACATCTCATAATGACGTGGGTGATTTTTTTATGACTCGGTGTATGCATCTAGAATAGTAGGTTTCTTAGTATCACCTAGTACTTTCTTATTTCTTACAGATCTTGAAGCTCCAGTGTTCTTGATATGAAGAGGTATTTTTATTTTTTAGCATGTGGGGAACAACCTGTGGGCCAGGCATTGGCACAATGCATTTGTAGGCAGTCACAGGCTTTTAAGAGTCTGACCCAAAGTCTGTTGGGACTAATAGAAAGTCTCCATTAGGTTTTGAAAATCAGACTTTGTGTGGTTCCCGTGACTTCTGAATCAGACTGTCGGCAACCCAGTAAGAATTTTCCTCACTGTCTTCATAGGATCAAATGTTTTATTATCAAGCCTCTACTCTTTTATTACATTTAATGTAAAAATGTCAAGAACTGTTACATTCCATTTTTTTGCACACTATATTAGTATTATTTAATTACTTTAAATCAAAATCTTTTAAATTGATTGATATAATCATGTCTATCCATTAGTGATCTTTCCACATCTTATCTCCATGAATATGTATCCTGTATGTATGTGAAGGTATGTGATATTTGTTGTGGGCTTGTGTGAACCTATCAAAAAGCCAAACATTTCAAGATGAATTGAGGAAAGTTCTAACATTATACAATAACGCAAACTATGAAATTAACATTGAAATATTATTAAAGACAGGTGATTTGGCATGAATTACCGTGCTAGGCAAATAATGAACACTACGTCTGACCTAAGATCATTATGAAATTCAGCAGTTTTCCAGGTGACTGGTGATTTTTTAAAAAAATGTATCATCTCCATCACTTGCGCCCCATCACTTGCCTAGCTCAAGGATCTAGTTGGAAATTAAATTAATAGTAAAATCCTGAGTTTCTAAGTATTCTCCTAGAGCTAGACACACAGGTGCCACAACAATTTCAGTAAGGTTTAGGTATCCAACTAATTCAGGCACTTTAAGAAGTGTTACGTGAACATTTAGGGCGTTCAAAATGGAGATTGGTGCACTAGAGTCACCTCCTCTCTTTTTGTTATAGCTGATTTTAGCATATACATTTAACTTTCTAATTTTTAATTTAAAAGGAAAAATGTGGTTGAATGCACGCATTATTTCACCTGACAAATAAAGGCCTGTTGTGCCATTACTATGCTTTCTGCATCTCTTGGTTTTTAAAATAAAGAAAACATATTAAAGATGCAAGTAGAGCATTACATAAACTTTTTTTAAAAAATATAATGTGCGAGTGCTAAAAAGAGAAAAATGCTATGACACAGAAGACAAATTCCTTTTCTGTGGAAAAAAAAAAAGGTAAGCTAAATAGCTGAACTGTGAGCCACAGAAAGATGGATGCAGTACAAGCAGTTTAGAAAACTTAATCTGACAGAAGGTCAGAAGACTATGTCTTCTAGGCCGCTAATTAGCAATTGGGTGCCAATTTTTTGGTTTTTGTTTTTGAAAAGAACTGTGTCTTTGTACAGTTGAAAAGCATTTAGCAAATTACAGCGTGTACATTAGTGTAATTATTTAATACATTCATTAAAATGGTATTGCTGTTAAGACCCATTGGAAAGATTGCTATCTTCCTGTGGTTGCAAAAGGGACATATAGTAAAACACTTCATAAAATTCCACGAGCAGTAGTCACTGTTTCATGCCAGAGAGTTTTTTTCTAACTTGAAGTCAGTCATTTTTTCAGTGTGCTAGAAATGTTTCTCAGCACCTTGTAGTTAATGTTTTTACTTATACATTGTTTACAGTGCTTAACAATCTTAAAACCGAGAGAGCTAACACCAAAATTACAACATCTTTAGTGATAACAGAATACCTACGGACACTAAACATGCACAGTCTAACTCATTGACAATGAAATACCAACTACCTTCTCTGTTGCAGTTCATGGAACGGTTTGTGACTTTGGCTACAGGTTAGGAAAGGAGGGGGAGAAACTGACGAGGACATTTACTGTATTCCATGGCATGCACACAAACACAAAAAAAGAACTTAGAGATTTCAGGATATTATTAGCCTATTGTAGACAGATTACAGTTAATATTTTTCAGGTTGAAGCCCATCTAAGCCAATTTAAAATCAATATTTCTGAACTGCTGGCTAATTCAGACGTTCATATTTTGTACTTCTGAGAAATCTCAGTCTCTTGATAGAATAAATAAGTCTCTATAAGCTTCCCTCTTTAGTTCCTAGGGCACAATAAAAGATGTATCAGTAGGTAAGTATGTGAAATATATATATTTTTTTGTGTTACCTACACACATGTTCAGCCATGTGCAGTTCAGCCATAATCCTTTGCAGGGAGCAATTTGAGTAGTCCCATGGATGCTGTTATGGTTGATCACATATTAAATTATTCTTGTGTATTTGCAGGATCAGATCTTCAGAAGAAGTGTGAGATTTGAAGGGTGGGAACAAGTGGATATATCAAATACAAACAATTTTATAGGTACCTACCTATTCACAGGTATTATTGATTAGATAGGTTTAACAATAGTTACTTACATTATG